TAATTGACAAAAAAACAAGAGGAGGTCTGGGACTTCCTGATTTTAAAACATATCACGAGGCATGCGCCCTGTCATGGATAAGAGATTGGATGACTTTAGATAAGGAAAAATGTCTAAATTTAGAAGGCCACGATTTGAGAGTAGGCTGGCATGCGTATGTTTGGTATAATAGAGAAACTAAAGAAAAAAACTTTGGAAATCATTTTGTGCGAGCCTCCCTACTAAGGATATGGTTGAGATATAAAGCCCTCTTTTACAAAACTACACCATTATGGGTCTCGGCAATGGAGGCCCACCAAAGGAGATTGTTAGGGTGGAGGGCATGGCCGAGATATAAGGACATCTTGCTTAAAGGGAAAGAGGAGATTAAATCTTTTGAACAACTTAAGAGTTCTTTTGGCAATATAACCTGGTTACATTATATACAAATTAAAGAATACTTTAAAGAAGATAAAAAATTGGTTTTGACTGGGAAGAAAACACATGGGACAAAATACTAAAAACTGGAAAGAAAGTAGTAACAATACTCTATAATAAACTGGCACAATGGCTTACGGAAACTGAACAGGTGAAAACATGTATGATTAAATGGGCAGAAAATTTGAGAAGGCCCATCCAATTTAGAGAATGGGAACAAATATGGAATAAAAAGTTGAGATATACTTATGCGATGGACTTGAAGGAAAATTGGTATAAAATGTTTTTTAGATGGTATCTGACCCCAAACAAATTAAGCCATATGTACAAAAATGTTTCAGATAAATGTTGGAAGTGCGGTGAACAATCAGGTACATTTTACCACATGTGGTGGACATGTAAAGAAACACTTAAGTTTTGGTCATTGATACATGAAGAATTACAAAAGATATTTAAGAGAAAGTTCAAAAAGAAGCCGGAGTATTATCTATTAGGTTTTACGGATTCAGATTTAAAATTGGATGAGAATGAAGATAAATTATTTACATATTTCACCACAGCAGCAAGGATTATTTTTGCCAAACATTGGAAAAATGAACAGATTCCGATTATTGACGAATGGAGGGGAAAGGTTATAGAAATAAGAGATATGGACGAATTAACTTTTTTGTTGAGGAAAAATACTGGAAAACCGTTAAAGAGGACAGACTGGACCTTTTTCTATGACTATGAGAAGAAAATATAGAAAGATACTAGAGGCTAAGAAAATATAAATGAGTTTTAGAAGAAATGAGAGAAGATCCTGAGACTGGAGTGGAAGTCATTTTAGAATAGTTTAGGTTTTTTGTTTTTTTTGTTTTGGGCCCTTTTTTGTGTTCTGGCCCCTTTTTTTTTCTTTTTTCTCGTTTTTCTCTTTTTTTCTTTCTGGGGAGGGTATGTGGGTTTCCTACTTTTCTTTCTTCTTTGTTATTGTTCTCCCTCTTTCCCTATGTTGATGTGCAAAAAGTTCAATAAAAACCATACAAAAAACAAAAAGAACAGGGGTGGCTGTGGGAATTGACCCCCAGGACTGCAGAAGCAGTCTCAGGAGTCAATACCTACAGGTCTGGTACCTGCAAAGATCCAGACCTTACCCTCTACTCTCTTTGCCATGGCACGCTTCTGCTCTTATTTAATGTCTGTAGGAGGGAGTGGTAATTATTATTATTATTAAACTTTATTTGTACCCCGCTAGCATCTCCCGAAGGATTCGATGCGGCTTACACAGGCCAAGGCCTCAACACACAACATAACAATACAATCTAAGCAAATCAAACAATTAAAAACAGAATAAAGCAAAGTAAACAACAGGCACAATACACTAAAACACAATAAAACTGGGCCGGGCCAGAAGGTGGGTACAAAGATTAAAAGTGCTGATGTGACAGGAGGTGTATAAAGGGCTTCTAGGGCAAGTGCGATGTGTGATGTGCAGCAATCATTGGTTCTGATAAAGTGCTTATGGGACTTGGTAGTGGAGATTTCTTAATCTGGGAAGGCGCATCGGAAAAGCCAGGTCTTCAAGTTCTTTCTGAAGACAGCCAATGTAGGGGCCTGTCTAAGGTCTTTGGGGAGGATGTACCAGAGTTGGGGGGCCACCACGGAAAAGGCCCTGTCCTGCGTCCCCACCAAGCGCGCTTGCGACGCCGGTGGGATCACGAGCAGGGCCTCTCCAGATGACCATAGTGAACGTGTGGGTTCGTAGATGGAAATGCGGTCATGCAGGTAGGCTGGTCCCAAACCGTTCAGGGCTTTGTAGGTAAGCACCTGCACCTTAAATTGGGCTCGGAATATAAACGGCAGCCAGTGGAGCTCCTTGAACAGGAGGGTTGACCTCTCTCTGTAAGGGGCCCCAGTTAGCATGCTGGTAATGTCACTTTCCCATCTCCATTCATTGACCACAGATCGTATCAGAATCCAAAAGCTGCCTTCGACTTCTACATGGGCAGACTTATACATGATATATAGTAATATTGGTGTGAGGCTACAAAACTAAGCCATATGTCTTCATCTAAGCCAGGGGTCCACAAACTTTTTACACAGAGGGCCAGGTCATAGTCCCTCAAATTGTTGGAGGGTCAGATTATAATTTGAAAAAAAAATGAATTAATTCCTATGCACACTGCACATGTCTTATTTGTAGTGCAAAAAACACTTTAGTACAATACAATAATTAAAATGAAGAACAATTTAAACAAATATAAACTTATTCGTATTTCATTGGGAAGTGTGGGCCTGCTTTTGGCTGATGAGATAAGATTGTTGTTGTTGTTGTTGTTGTGTGCTTCCAAGTCGTTTCAGACTTAGGTTGACCCTGAGCGAGGGCCGGGTAAATGACCTTGGAGGGCCGTATTCGGCCCCCGGGCCGTAGTTTGAGGACCCCTGATCTAAGCCATACATCTTCAGTACCACTTGGGAATGTATTGCCTAAGTATTAACAGGAATTTGGGATGACCTGAAGACAGAAAGGGTTAACCTCCCTTCCACCTGCCTTGGATCTTTGGTTTGTTTTTGAAAAAAAGGTCTTACCTCCAAGAAGGAAAGGTCCCAGTACCAGTCAGCTCTAATATGACAAATAAGCAAGGAAATACAAAGTTTTTGGACTCTAAAAGCGAGATATGGCTATTACATAGTGGAGACTAATACACATTGCAATATAGTACTCCAAAGGCTTGAGATCCTGGCTGATCTTGGAAGCTAAGCAAGAGTCAGCTCTGGTTAGTACTTGGATGGGAGGCCACCAAAGGAAGGAACTGGCCAAACCACCTCTGAGTATTCCTTACTTAAGGATACCATATGAAAGTGACAGGTGTCTGCACATGCTTGCAATGTTTCTAAAATGACCTTGCCAGAAGAAGCAGGTTTGGAACAAAAACGCAGCTCAAAAGATTTGTTTACCTAATGAAAGCTAGCGACAACTATCCATACAATCCAGAGCTAAGTTTTTATCTCGTAAGGTAAAGGTAAACGTTGTCCCCTGACATTAAGTCCAGTCATGTTTGATTCTGGGGTGTGGTGCTCATCTCCATTTCTAAGCCGAAGAGCCGGCGATGTTCATAGACACCTCCAAGGTCATGTGGTCGGCATGACTGCATGGAGTGCCGTTACCTTCCCATGGAGTGCTGTTACCTTCCCTATTGATCTACTCACATTTGCATGTTTTCGAACTGTTAGGTTGGTCGAAGCTAGGGCTGACAGCGGAAGCTCACGCCGCTCCCCGGAATCGAACCTGCGACCTTTCGGTCAACAAGCTCAGCAGCTCAGCACTTTAATCCACTGCGCCACCAGGGGCTCCTTTTATCTCATAAACAATGGAAATTAATGGTGAATCACTCATTTTTAAAAGTCACAGATCATTAGGACTGGGTCCGCTCATCTATGACTTAAATATGAGGTTTCTCCAACTGTTATCCATTGTCATGAATAACAGTAGGCAAAAGTATGATAGCTGGGACCCTATGCTACGCTAGTTGCGCAACGTGGCTCAGAATTAATGAAGGGAAGACGTACGTGAGACAGCAGAGCAAGTGAGAGACGCAGCTGTGATGGGATATCAGTGAAGTACTGTATATACTCGAGTATAAGCCTAGTTTTTCAGTCCTTTTTTTTTTTGACTGAAAAAGTCTCCCTCGGCTTATACTCGAGTCAAGGTTTTTTATTATTTTACTCTATTATTATTATTATTATTTTATTCTTTATTATTGTTATTATTACATTTATTATTTTATTCTTTATTGTTATTACTTTAATCATTTTACTCTATTATTATTATATTTATTTTATTCTTTATTATTGTTATTATTACATTTATTATTTTACTCTATTATTATTGGAAGGATATGTAAACACATTTACACTGAAGAAGGTTAGAATAATGCTTTAATCAGAGGACAGTCTTATCTTATTTATTCAAAAACATTTAACCTACTGATGCCTCAATTAATGTAATTTTATGGATATCTATGTTTATTTTGGAATTTACCAGTAGCTGCTGCATTTCCCACCCTCAGCTTATACTCGTGTCAATCCGTTTTCCCAGTTTTTTGTTGTAAAATGAGGTGCCTTGGCTTATATTTTGGTCGGCTTATACTCAAGTATATACGGTAATTTAATTCAGGTGGAAGAGGATAAGGATGAAGTAATGTAATACTTATTTAATGTTAAATGATAAACAACGGCTTAAGAAGATGGTAAACGGGATAGAAATGTTCCCTCTTCCCTTCTGGAGAACAATGTTGCCACAACTCTGATGCAGTTGCCTCTCTCATTTGCTGTGCTGTCTTGTGCACATGTTCCCCTCATTAATTCAGACCCAAGTTGCGCAAGCTATCCCAGCTATCATACTTTTGCCTAACAGTAAATTAAAACACTAACAAAATCTGACATTCAGCTTTGGAACTAAGCCAACTGGTTTCTCAAACTGCTGCCAAACAAATATTCAATTAACATGATACATGCAGAACTTACTTTTTTTTTGTTTAGTTGATTACACTACATGGATCTGCCTTTAAATAAAAGGAAAAGGAAAGTGATTGGAAACTCACCTGTTTTTTCTTGTAGAAACCTCTTTTGTCACAATTTGGAATATGTAGTCCTCCTGGACTTAAGACATTCAGGATATTTAGGTTATTTAACGTATCCTCCATTTCTCTTCGACAAGGACCCTGCCAATTAGAACATTTTAAACAAAAATCAGAAAATTCTAACTTGCCAACATTTTACTAGTCTATCTTGCATGGTGACAAATATCTAACTTGAAAGAAGATGTGGATTTTGACTTGAGGAATTTTGACTTGTTTAAGAATACTTTCCCACGTACATATAGAAAGACTATAACCCAGGGGTCTTCAAACTAAAGCCCGAGGGCCAGATATGGCCCTCCAAGGTCATTTACCCGGCCCTCACTCAGAGTCAACCTAAGTCTGAAATGACTTGAAAGCATATAACAACAACAACAACAATCCTATCTCATCAGCCAAAAGAAGGTCCAGACTTCCCACTGAAATACTAAAAAGTTTATATTTGTTAAAATTGTTCTTCATTTTAATTATTGTATTGTTTTTAAATGTTTTTGCACTACAAATAAGATAAATTTCAAAACATTTATTTCGGTCATTGACCAGCACAGGAAATATTGTCACATTTCCATACAAACCTGGTATGTTTGGTACATTAAATATATATATATATAACTACTAAAAACACAATATGGGTGAGGGAGCAGAAGGGGAAACGGTAAAAACATACAATGCCGAGATCCATCATCAAATTATAGATTCAGGGAAGAAGATTACTGGACACACAGTTGACTTTTGGAACTAGTCATTCCCTGGCGGATTTTGTATGCTGCTGCACAGAACTTTGCGACATTGTAGGTTGTAGCTGAATTAGTATCTGCAAGTAGCAGGGAGGTATAAAATTGTATAAGATATGTGCAGTGTGCATGGGGATTCATTCTTTTTTTTTTTTTCAAATTATAATCCAGCCCTCCAACAGTTTGAGGGACTGTGACCTGGCCCTCTGTTTAAAAAGTTTGAGGACCCCTGACCTATTCTATTTGTGTGATGGTTTTAATAATGCAATAATAATAATAATAATAATAACAACAACAACAACAACAACAACAACAACAACAACACTTTATTTATACCCCACTACCATCTCCCCAAGTACCAGGTAGAGCTGCCTTTGTTATTAAGCCATACCTCAACATATTTAGTTCTCTACAGATGTGATGTAGCAGCTAGTATACTGCTAAGGAAATATAAAAAAGCTAAAGGTAAAGGTTTCCCCTTGACATTGAGTCTAGTTGTGTCCGACTCTGGGGGGTAGTGCTTATCTCCATTTCTAAGTCGAAGAGCCGCCATTGTCCGTAGATGCCTCCAAGGCCATGTGGCTGGCATGACTGCATGGAGCACCATTACCTTCCTGCTGGAGCTGTACCTATTGATCAGTGGTTCTCAACCTGGGGTCCCCAGATGGTTTTGGCCTTCAACTCCCAGAAATCCTAAGAGCTGGTAAACTGGCTGGGATTTCTGGGAGTTGTAGGCCAAAACACCTAGGGACCCACAGGTTGAGAACCACTGCTATTGATCTACTCACATCTGCATGTTTTCAAACTGCTAGGTTGGCAGAAGCTGCGGCTAACAGCAGGAGCTCACCTGCTTCTCAGATTCGAACTGCCAACATTTCGGTCAGCAAATTCAGCAGCTTAGCGATGTAACCTGCTGTGCCACCGGGGAAAATATAAAATGCCTGAATTCATGTGGGAAGTGATGGGTGCTACACTAGACTACAAGATAATTTAAGTTTCTACAATAATGGAATGATTTCAGAAGAGGGACATGATTTTTTTTTACCATGGCATAGATCTTTTCAAATGCGGTCCAAGTTCAGAAACTATGCTAAGAGATTCTAGTCCACACCCATTTTATGCTAGAGTCTAGCATGAAATGGGTGTGGACTAGAATCTCTTAGCATACCTATATATATGAAATAGATATAGCATACAAAAAGATATATAGAAAGTAATGAAAAACAGATATTCACTAAAGGGTTAGATATGATAGTTGTTGATTTGGTCTTGATCTTCTGATGATTTGAGCCTGCACGAGTCTGGAAAAGATCTTTTTAAAAAGGGAAAATCATATATTTCTGAGCCCTTGGTGAACTATAAATCTTGGGGGGGGGGGTTACCGTGGTACGATAACATACTGATTCAGGATATTTATTCAGAGATAAAAATAATACTCTGATTTTGTATCTTCTGAAGACTCTTGATCAGGTCTAGAGGAACGTGGTCACCTTGAAATGTGATATTTATGACTGGAAATGTCAGATCCTGGACATGTCTATTGAGAAGCAAATCCCACTGAATTCAAACTGTCATAAGCAAAGACACATATATTTTAGGTGCACCATTTCTTATGCACCAATATTTTATATTGTGCTTGAAAACTAAATCTGACACAATTTAGACTTCTAAATTATTCTGATTTCAATATTTGACATTCTCTGCCTGGGATGGGAACAAAATTAATTTGTCTATTTCCCCTTTAACATAAACCTTTAGATATAAAAGAGGGGCAAAAACACAATCTGGAAAGCCAGGCTCCCTTAGACTCCTGGAAGATCTCTACATTTTGTGACAGACCAGGCAGACAAGAACACCTTTCACACTGACTTGTCTCTGTGCATTTTCCATTTCCATAGGTTCTGGAACGATCCCTCTGTACAGCTTTCCCCTTTTCAACAATATATAGCTTTGTCTTGATTAACCACAAGTGTACTGACACATAGCCAAGGAATGCCTAGTCACATTTTGTATGTCTATTGGCATGGATATGGGAAATAAGCAGTCTTTTGCCAAAAACTGCACAAGAAATAAGGTATTCTGTGCTCATATTTCCTGCAATCTGGCTGACCTGTAGACCTCGTTCGTGTATTGAACTTTAAAAAAGAAAAAAAGAAAAAAAAGTATGGTTGGGTACACAAAGCTAGAAAACTCCTTTGCATGCAGCAGAAAGCATTTCATAGACAACCAAAAGTTGATACCAAGTCTCACATGTGTACAACATGCTACAATTTGCAGGTACAAAATGAAACCCAAGTCTTTTTTATTTACTACCCTAACTGTCTTCTTTATAGGTGGACTAAAAGTGTATTAAATCGTTCTTACCAATTAACTAATCAAATTAAGCAGGATTTTTCCTTGAATAAACGATGGCAAGCATCCTCAGAGGATGCTTGCCATAGATGCAGGTGAAACGTCAGGAGAGAATGCCTCTAGAACAGGGATCCTCAAACTTTTTAAACTGAGGGCCAGGTCACAGTCCCTCAAAAGGTTGGAGGGCCAGATTATAATTTGAAAAAACAAAAACATGAATGAATTCCCATAAACACTGCACATATCTTATTTGTAGTGCATAAAAAACCACCTTAAAACAATATAATAATTAAAATGAAGAACAATTTTAACAAGTATAAACTTATTAGTATTTCAATGGGGAATGTTGATCTGCTTTTGCTGATGAGATAGGATTGTTGTTGTTGTTGTTGTTGTGTGCTTTCAAGTCGTTTCAGACTTAGGTTGACCCTAAGTGAGGGCCAGGCAAATGACCCTGGAGGACCCCTGCTCTAGAACATGGCCATATAGCCCGAAAAAACCTACAACAACCCAGTGATTCTGGCCATGAAAGCCTTCAACAATACATCGTCCTAAACAGACTTTTGGAAGATTTAGAAGCAACTAAGGACTGCCATTGACAAAGAGAATCGTTTCAAAATATATTGAAAACTAGCCATCCCCTGCCACGCATTGCTGTGGCCCACATGGGGGTTCTGTGTGGGAGGTTTGGCCCAATTCTATCGTTGGTGGGGTTCAGAATGCTCTGTGATTGTAGGTGAACTATAAATCCCAGCAACTACAACTCCCAAATGTCAAGATTCTATTTTCCCCAAACTCCACCAGTGTTCACATTTGGGCATATTGAGTATTTGTCAAGTTTGGTCCAGATCCATCATTGTTTGAGTCCACAGTGATCTCTGGATGTAGGTGGACTACAACTCCAAAACCAAAGGACACTGCCCACCAAACCCTTCCAGTATCTTCTGTTGGTCATGGGAGAACTGTGTGCCAAGTTTGGTTCAATTCCATCGTTGGTGGGGTTCAGAATGCTCTTTGATTGTAGGTGAACTATAAATCCCAGCAACTACAACTCCCAAATGACAAAATCAATTTTTTGAGTGAAGGACATACATTGTGTTGTTAGGTATCTTGTGTCCAAATTTGGTGTCAATTCGTCCAGTGGTTTTAGAGTTCTGTTAATCCCACAAACGAACTTTACATTTTTATTTATATAGATTATTACTTGTTGATGTGTATCCCTTCTGTTTATCATCTTTGTTATTGTTCCATTTTCCAAGAGCTTGGTTTGCATTGCCCTTAGTTGCTTGAAATAGCATCCCTTTGCATTTCCCCCAGGGTTGCTACAGTCTTAGCAGCACCCTAATAGTCAAACATTAACAGAGGCTGGAAGCCAGCCTGCAAGCGTTTTGCAGCGATTGGCTTAAAAAAGTATCTCCTTGGTCCAAAGACCGCCCTTTTTCCTGGGGATGAGATCTCCATTTTGGAGAAGCTCTCCTGCCTTCTTCAGTATAGAAAAAGCCTCAGATGTGCTGGTGGCCAAGCTAGGCAGCTCGGACAGGCCATCGTGAGTACGGTTACCCTCTTGCCTTTGAAACTGGTGCTGAGCTCAGATAGAGAAAGACCTGCTCTTTCTAAAGGATAGCAGCTCAGTGCTAGGGCAGGGAATATCTCAGGATTTCTCTGCCATTAGGAGAGGCTCCATTACTTCATCTCCAAAACTAACCTTGAGCTTGGATAGGGGAAGACCTGCTCCGGTTCCGGTTTGGTGGCCGGCAGCAAAAAACGCTGTGCTGCTCGGCCGCATCTAAATCTGGAGGAATCCTGAGCCTCCCCCTCACCCACCATCCTCAAATTGAGGGGAGTGGGGAACCCTAGGCCTCAGGCTCCCGATTGAGGGGTGGAGAGCCAGGAAGGCCCAGAGAAGACGGAGGAAGACGGAGGAAAGGCGGAGACGGTGAGGGGAGACGCCCGCCGCCATTTTACCGCGGCCCGGCCTACCTTACAACCAGCTGCTTC